TTGAGAGAAAGAATGGAGCTTTACCTAATGTTTGCATTTTCCATAGAACCTATGACTTTACACAGAGTAAATGTTCAATAAATATTTAAATAAATATTAAATGAAAAAAAACACAAATGAAATCTTAGATTCACATACCTCTCCAGCTTCTGCTCTGTCAACACAAATGAGCAACCAAAGCTAAAACCAATAAAACTCAAACCAACCTGGACTCAGAGTTCCTCTCTGGCTTTTGCTTTACCTCTTCCCTTCACTGTTCAACCACCCAGAAATGTAGCCTGAATTTTCTGTCCCTTTCCACCTCTAATACTTACAAGCCCACTGCTAACCACCTCTGCCCTCACCTTCTACTGAAACTTGCCTTGCTAACCTCACCAGTATTCTTGGAAGAACAGCCAAGGGGCAGTTGGTGGCCCTTGCTTCATCCACTGATGACATTTGACACTATTAACTCTCCTCCCTCTCAAAATACTACTATAGTAGTGATTCTCCCCCAACAACTTGGGCTGCTTTTTCTGTAGACTCCTCTCACTTTCCCTGTCCCGGAAGCATGGCTCCTCCTCAGTGTACTTTCCCAGGCCCACTTCTACACGGCTTCCATGTATCTTCTGAGATCCTGGCTCGTATTTCCCAGTGACTGCTCACCATCCTCATTTGAATATATCATAAACTCTTCATCTCCATGTCTGAACTGTTCACCTTCATAGGCTGGGTGGATTCACCTCAGAGAACAGCATGGTTTCAGCGTGGCTGGCAAGCCAGAGGCTTGCATTCATTCTTGCCTCCTCTCTCAGCCTGAGTGGCGCTCAGCTTCTACTTCCTATGAGCTCTAGCACTCCATCTCCTCTGCTCATCCATCTTCTTTCCATATTACTACAACAACCAGCAACATCCAGTTTCTAATTTACATTTCACTCTGCATTTAAAATTATCTTTCTAATATATAACTATTTTGTCACTGTCCTGCTTAAAGATACCCATGTCTTCAGCCAAAAATCTCAGTTCATCTTGTCTCTTGAACAAGCCAAGCTCTTCGTTATATCCATGGCCTCTGCCTAAAATTTTCCTCTTTTATTCATCTGCCTAACTGCCGCCATCCTTCCTCTAAATGAAGAATCCGTGAGTGTCCATAGCAAACTGTCCTTTCCTGTCCTTGTGCTTATCTTCTTCATGTGTGCTTGCTTGTTGCTTGCTGTGATAAATTCTGTAGCATATGTGACCATGTCCACATTCTCTGTCACTGAGATCCTATTCAGTGTCACTGCCACAAGCTCACACAGTCCTGTTCCCATCCTATGAAAAATTCATATTTTCCAAATTCTTATCCATATAAGACATATTTTCTTTTTGTCTTATTTGGGAAACTTCATTTTCCTTGGTGGCTTAATCCAATTCTTGAAATATCACTCAATTTTTTTTTCACAAATATTTATTTCTTATCTAAATATGAATTTACTTTTTTTCTTTCTCCTTGGACACATCAATGCACTAATTAATTAATTTTTTTTAATTTTCTTTATGTATTTAGTACAGGGGCCACAAGGTCTCAACTATACAGCTCAGACTCCTAGTGACCCTCCTGTTCTCAGCCTCCCAAGCGCTGCTCGCTGTCTCAGTGCGCCCTGGGAGTGGGGATCAGTGTGTCATGGCAGGGTGGGGATCAAACCCTGGTCCCTGAGCCTATCTAAACAGGTACTTTAGCCCACTGAACTATCTGGCCAGCCCCACATTAATTAATTTAGATTTCATTAATTCACAGATATTAGATCCAATGACACTTGAGTGGAAATAATTTATCCTATCATTGCAAACGCTCAAGTTTTTGCTAAAAATGAAAAAGAACTCTTAAAGTAGGATCTATGAAATCAGGGTTTCATTACTTTTTTGAAGTTATTAAGATATTTTTATGAAATATAATATTTGGTAGTTATATTTGCTCTTAAAATATAAGTCATGGTGAACTCAAGTTTTGCATTACCATATTTTTATTCCAACCATTAAAATATATACAATTAAAATGATTTTTGCTTTTCAACTCTGAGATTATCAAGTTTAAATAAGAAGATTCATTATGCACTTCTTTTTTTTTGGTTTAGAGAATTATGTTTCACTTTGAATGGGTCACTGAAGTAAGCCCTAATTAAGGAAGGCTATCTCATGCATTGTTTATTTATCACATGTAGCTTTGGGCTTGCCGCTAATAACCTATTATTTTCCCTCACTAGAAAATTTCCTTTCAAAGGGCCAGCCAAATAGCTCAGTGGATTAAAGTGCCTGCAAGCAGGCTCAGGGCCAATCTCTGATTCCCGGGCCTGCTGTGCAGGCCCCGCCCCTGGGGCATGCTGAAAGAGCAATTGAGACTGTGCGTGGTGGCACACACCTGCAATCCCAGCTCTTGGGAGCCTGTAAACAGGTGGACTATAAGTCCGATCTAGTAGTGAGACCCTGAACACCCTGTAGACCCTTCCCTAAAAATACAAATACAAAAAAAAAAAAAAAAAAAAAAAAAAAAAAGAAAAAGAAAAAAAAAATTTCCCTTCAATTGGAAACTTCTACCAAAGAACCAGATAAAACCTACCATCTCACTCACTGGCAAACTAAAGTGCAGAGTTGGAAAGAGTAACTACAAGGAATGAACACCTTAAAGAGCAGGTCTGTATTCGAGTTTGGTAAACTCTGGATGAACCTCACAAAGATGTTAGAAGAAATAAGAATGTAGGGATTCAACTGGCCAGGCTTAAGTGACTTTTTGACTGTACATCTGATTTTCTCTAGGACATAGCAGAAAGAAAATGGCTGCCAAGAGTGGTTCTGAACATGACTGGAATGGTGAGAGCATGTGATTTTGCTCCTGACCCCAGATACTTCAGCTTCACTCAAACCATGAAGAGCAGGCTCTTGTCTGAGATTCATACTGATACTGTGAACTATCGATGTAGAACTGAAGAGTACATGTAGATACTAACACAGCTTTCATATTTTCTCAACGTGTTCTAATACGGTAGTATTTGGAGGATAGACTGGTAGAAGCCTTTAAAAGGTAGCCCGCCTGAATTATCCTTTATTTAAAAATATTCACATAATTTAAGTTAGTGTTTATATAAACAAATAATCACAAACAGAGGAGTTGAACACTCATAAAGATATGCACTGAAGGATGGGAAGGTTATCTACAGCAGTAATACCAGAAACAGGGAAATGTACAGCAACACACTAATACTTTGCACTCACCCTGTGCTATGTATCGTTTTCAGAATTTCACATTTGTCTTTATAACAGTTCTATGAAGGAGGAGCTATTATGTTTTTCCTTTTTTCAGATATGGAAACTGAGGCACAGAGAGGTGTTTGCTAAAATTGGTGCTGGAGCGGAGGTCAAACAGTTCAGCAGCAGAGGCAGCTCTGTGAAGTACTCTGATGTTTGCTGATATTACAGTTAAGTAAGTTTATGTTTGTAAGAATGTCAGCCAATATGTTATCATGTCTAGTAAGAATGAGAAATAAATCATGAATGTACAAAGGAAAACAAAAAGATAAAAAGAAAGAACAAACCTGAATGTTTAGAAACAGAGATTCCAGGGTCTAGATAACACTGGGTGACAAAACTATTATTTTTTTTTATTGTTTCCAAAGAAGCAAGTGTTGCTTTTGAATAATAAGAACTGTCACCTATTACTGTGAATGCTTTCATTTGGCTTCCTGCTTTCACCCACATTTTCCCCCTTTGCTTTGCTTCATGATTCCCTTAGAGTTTTTTTCTTCCTAGGTCTCCCCATTTCATTTTTTATCTTTCCTACTTTCTTGCTTCCTGTATTTTCCTATGAGGCTCATGAACAGAAAGAGAAACCCCATTCTTCATGGTCACCTGCTGGTCCACTGGAATTCAACTCAAGACACCCACTAACTGGGTTAGAGAGCAGGGCCAGTGGGTACAGGGAGCCTGGGGCCTGGATCAGTGACTCTTTCCTGAGTTCTAAGCTGCTCACTCCACTTGGGTGCACACCTTCCCACTCCCACCAGCTTCGACAGGCCCATTGCTCAAGCCCCACAACACATGCATTCCCTGTGGCTCTGCCTGTGATACTTAGTAATTTGTGACCAAGCCTACCTTCCTTCCACTCATCCCACTCATTCCAATTTGAAAACTCAGCTTCAGGTCTACTTGTTGCATGTATCCATGCCTTACTGATGTACAGGTGGTGGTCTTTGCACCACAGAATCGAGCCATACATTTATCTCTTTCTGATGCTACTAACACCATCCCATTTAGGTCAGATGCTGCCCGGGAACTTGCAGGATGACCCATGCTTTGTTAGAATCTAGTGACACAATGAGTTATTGGTATCCTGCTGTGCAATGAACAGAGAGGAATAAATAAAGGATTAACTGAATGGCTTATTTTTAATTTAGTGAAAAATCTTCCTCAGCCCTTTAAAGACTGAGTTTAATGTTTTGCACCTTCCAGTCTATAGGCCAGTGGTGCTCCCTAAGCCTGAACATGCTGTAAACTTCTGCCGCAAAGCACAACACCTGATTGTCACATACCTAGAGCATTTGGCTGCCAATGTGAAGGACCTTTCCCCACAGAACTTTTTAGTTCCTGCACAGAGTTTCTGAATGGCCTGGATAGTATGTACTTTCTGCTCCTAATGTGGCCCCCATTCTGTTATCCATCCTAAAGTGATGATTCTTTATAAATCACTGCTCCAGGAACCTGCTACCACTAAAGTGCCCAAGTGATAAATGTCCTTTGGCACCATCTTAGTAAGGTCTATTTGATTGATTTAACAAAGGTTCCAACTCAGTTTTGGGCCATGAAAGGCTAGACGGTGTTCAGAACCTCTGGGGACTCCCAGCAAGAGCCCAGGTAGAAAAACAAGGTGAACAGCTCTGGCCACCATGGAGGTTGGGTCGTTGCCCCACGGGCACCAGGCTGCAGACCTAGAGGTCTCTGTGTGAATGTCAAACTGCTAACCACCAACGCTGTAGATCTGTGCTCACCTCTCATCGCACTTAATCAGAATCACGCTGTCTGTTCCAATCCCCAAGGCTGCAGCTCCCTTTTTGAGAGAAAAATGACTCTGTAAAAAAAGCATATTTGCAATTAGTGTCACACAAAGATAAGACCCATTTTCCTCTGCTGTTTTTTTCCCCTCTGTTCCTAGTCTGTAGCTCCAAAGTATGAGCTGCTAAGAAAAAATAGCATACTTTACTGATGCTTTACAAAATAATCGTGTTTGTTTGTCACAACTAAATTTTGGAGCAACCCAAATGCCCATTGGCCAAGCAATGAATAAAAAGATGTAGTGGGGCTGGGGAGATAGCTTAGTGGTCTGAGGGCCTGCCTGGCAAGTGCAAAGACCGAGGTTCAATCCCCAGTACTACATGCCACACTGGCCCCGCACCGTGGCGGTCACTGAAACTGGTGTGGTGGTACACGCCTGTAATCCCAGCTCTGAAGAGACTGAGACAAGAGGGTCACTATGAGTCTGAGCTGTGTAGAGAGACCCTGTACCAAATAAATAAATAAATAAATAAATAAATAAATAAATAAATCTTTAAAAAAAGAAATGTTAGTTTTATATAATGGAGTATTTCTGTTATACAGAAAGATAAACTGGAGACTTTTATAGGTAAATGGATGCAACTAGAGACTGTGCTTATAAGTGAAATAAATCAGATTCATATGCGTAAACATTGTATTGTCTCCTTAGTGTAAGAAACTGAGAGGGTAAATAAGATCCAAAAGGTACAACAGATACTGTGAAAGGAAAGAAACTACTCAAAGGAAAGAATAACTGAGGAAAGGAGAAAAGAGAAAAGAAGGAGAAAAGAAGAAAGGAGGAAAGAAGAAAGGGGGAAGGAGAAAAGAAGAAAGGGGGAATATATAAAATAATTCGTGTTAGTACATTTGAAAGGAATAGTCAGTGCTTATATTATTTGATCAATTTTGCATGCATATATCTTATGATCTGAGCAACTACTTTGAAGATAACAATATGTAATATAATAACCATTGTTAATTTCCTATCATCTTGTTTTGAAATTCTATATCATTTTCATTGTCTTTTTTTTTTTTTTGCGGCACTGGGGATTGAACTCAGGACCCTGCTCTTCCTTTGACTTTTTTTTTTTTTTTTGTATTCAGGACAGGGTGTACAGGGTGTGTAGGGTCTCACTATGTAGAGTGATTATGGCGTGCAGTACCGGGGATTGAACCCTGGTCCTTGCACTTGCCAGACTCATAGTGATCCTCCTGTTTACAGCCTCCCAAGAACAGGGATTACAGGAGTACACCACCACGCCCAGTCTCAACTGCCATCTCAGCACACCTGGAGGCGGGGCCCACACAGCATGCCAGGGGATGAAATTTCCAGCCCCTGCATCTGACTAAGCAGGCGCTTTAATCCGCTGAGCTATTTGGCAGTTTATTTTTTGTTTAAAATAATTTTTTAAAAAAATGTATTTAGCATGGGGTCTGTAGAGTCTCACTACACAGATTGGACTCGTAGTGATCCTCCTGTTTTCAGACTCCCAAGGGCTGAGATTACAGGCGGGCATCACCACGCCCAGTCTCAGTTGCAGTCTCAGCACGCCCTGGGGGAGAAGCAGGCACAGCACTCTGGGATTGAGCCCCCGTCCCTGCGCCTGCCTAAGCAGGTGCTTTAGTCTGCTGAGCTTTAGTCTCCCTGCACCTGCCTAAGCAGGTGCTTTAGTCTGCTGAGCTATCTGGCTGGCCTTAAAAAATTATTTCTTTGGAAAAAAACAAACAAAAATAATTGTGCTGAAAGACATATAACTTAAATGCACATAGTTTAAATACCATCTTAAACACTTTTAAGTAGAATTGTTCTGGCAGTTCCAAGTGTGTCTGCACTGTTGTGCAGTCGGTACCACCATCTGTCTCCAGAAGCCTTTTCATCTAGACACCCGGAACTCTGCCCCCTGAATGACAACTCCTGTTCTCCAGCCCTGCAAGCGCCACCCTACTTCCTGACTCTGTGAGCTCGGCTGCTCTCCGTGTCTCACATGCATGTCCTCCCACCGCATTTTCTTTCTCATGACCAGTTTTTGCACTTAGCATGATGTTGTTAGAGTTCACCTATGCAGCAACTTGTAGAATGCCCTTCCTTTTTGAGGCAGGCTATCACTCTGTGCACATGGAGATCACATTTTGCTTAGACATCCACCAGCCAAGGACACTTGGGTGGCTTTCAACTCTTGGCTACTGTGAATGGTGGGTCAGATACATGGCTGTACACATACTTCACTGAGACTCTGCTTTCACTGTTGGGTAGATGCTTAGAATTTTTTGAGGAACTACTATATTCCTTCCCACAGACTCTATGCCATTTTAAGTTCCTATCAGCAGTGCAAAGAAGTTCCTGTTTCTCCACCATTCTACACCAAGTTCCACATCCTCACCACCTATAATTTTATCTGGCCCTCCCTCTGACCCTTCCTCCCTCTCTCTGTCTCTCCTTCTTTCCCCTTCTCTTTTTCTTTTTCCTCTTTCTTGTTTTAGCTTTGCCTAGGCTGTCATCAAACTCTCAAGCTCAAAGGATTCTCTTGCCTCAGCCTCCCAAGCAGCTGAGACTACATGCATGCATCACCATGCCTAGCTTGTAAATTTCTCTCCTTTGGTAACAGCCTTCCTGACTGATGAGAGATGGTACTACATCTTTTCATATGTCTGTTCATCATTTGTACATTTTTTTCTTTGAAGAAATATTTATCCAGGTCCTTTGACATTTAAGAGCATGTCACTGCTTATTTTTTGTTATTGTTGAACTCATGTAAGCTGTGTGTGTGCCCACACGCATGCATGCATGTGTGTTGTACAAGATCAAGCTCAGGGGTGCTTTACCACTGAGCTACATCCCAGATTTTTTTTTTTTTTTTGAGACAGATTCTTCAGCAAGTTACCCAGGTTGGCCTTGACCTTGTGATCTTTCTACCCTGTCCCCAGACTGGCTGGGGTTATAGGCATGTGTCACTACACTTGGCTTCATTCAGGCTTTTTGAAGGAGGACAAAACATTGTTGGAAATCACAACTGGATCTGATAACCCAGAACAACTAGTCATGGAGTCAGTTTTATAGGGTGGGGTAAGCCCAGCCCAACAAGTACACAGTGTACAGCTCTCAGACTTGTATTTTCTACCAAGGAGATGACATTCTGTTTCTCTCAAGTTGGGGAAAAATGCATGCGTTAAGTAAGGGGAGAAGTTGGCTCTACCCATAGCACTCTTCATCCCAGAGTTCTTGGAGCGGCTGTTTGCTGTCAGCTGCCTGTCCCGTCTGGGGCAGGTGCAGCAAGGACACATCAGCTACTGGCTGGGAGAGCACAACGGGTCTGTGCGAGAAGAACAGGCCCTGGACAACCCACCACCAGTGTCTATGCTTTTGCTTACTGACTCTGGGCAAGATTCTGTGTCTCAATGTGGGCAATCATTGTGCCATTTGGAGAGCTGAGAAAGGCTAACCTAGCCCAGCTGTTCCACATCTGCCCATCAGCCCCCTGCTATTAACTACAGATCATTAAGCTGTCTGAAAGGAAAGGAAAGCTGGTTCCTCAATTTACATCTCCAAAGGGCTGCTGGCTGGAATTGTAAGTTATTATTTGAAGAGCATGCACTCCCTTTAAATGCTCACTTTCCATTCATCTGTATTCTTTAAAATGCAACAACAAAAACTCTTAACATATTTTAGGGGCTATGTCTAATACTCCCAAGAAGAAACCACACTTATAGCAGCAACAAATAAAATCAACCAATAACAGAGACACTTTGAGGGGAGGACTTTCAAAAGCCCAGTGCAGATAGACATAATAAGAAAGTGCCATTAGCCCCCTTCTCAACCCCCAATGACAAAGTGGATAATTGTTAGCAAGATAACTGGGAACAAGGAGACAAAGCTTAACTGGGTCAGGATTTGTAAAGATGCAAGATTCCCCCTGCCCCAACACAGTGTCCTTGATTTCTCTTACACAGCAGAGGCCAAGGTGCCAAAGAAGAGTGGAGGAAAACAGGGTCAGGTTTCTATCAGCTGGTGTGCAGAACAGGGAGCCAGCCCCCAGCCCCACAAGCACGAGTGCCTCAGATCCTGTCTCTCGCTTGCTCCATGTATCAGATCTTAGGCACAGGCTGCAAATTGCAAATTGGGGCTAAAAGATCTGGTGCACCTGGCCAATGAAAGGACATTTTTTTTTCCTGATCTTTAATGAAAAGAAACAAGGACTCTTAAATGAGGAGCAATTGTCTGGGATAATTGATCACTGTCATGAATTATAAACACACACACCCACACGGAAAGCTTAGAGATGGGGAACAAAGGAGATATGAGGCATAAAAAGAAAATTAGGTACTGAATACCAAATCTGTTTATGTTTTCAGGATGGGGGGCAGAGACACAGCTAAATGGTAACTGCACACAGTGAGGGATCACAGAGAAGGACATGGGGGAGGACACAATTCCTAGTAAGGAGGACGCAATTCCTAGTGAGGAGGAAACAGTGAAGACAGCTTAACTGCCATGTCTCTGTGCTGTGAGGCAGCGTGTGAAGATGCCTTTTCGCTATCTGGCACCGTGTTTACTGAACTAGAGAAGAACATCTGAAGAATGCCCTTCTGGATGCCAGGAAGCCTGGAAAGTCAGTGTCTGTGGAGGACTTAGGATGCCCTGCCAGAGACAGGGCAATAGGGCCAGGTGACATCAGTGGCCTTCATAATGAATGGCCGTGCCACTGTGGGGCTGGGCAGAGAGAGACGGTCCTGAGCGGCTTCAGAAGGCAAAATTACGCCTAATCAGAAGCTCCAAGGATTCACATTTGCTGCTAAATAATGAAGGCTTCTGTCAATAGAATGGCTGCAAAATGAGCTAAGGACCACACCCCCGTCTTCTTCCCCTCATCTGGGGAGAATGACAATAGATCTTTGATGGAATCTAGTGCTTATTTAGGACTAAGTCATACTTCCATCTAAGGATAATAGATATTAAAGTCCATATTATGTTTATGTTATACTAAGTGAAGACATCAGTTTTGATGGAAAGAGTAATTCCTTATTTCTTTTTAAATATGT